CTCCTGGAGGAGTCTTTACGGTTCGGGAGGGAAGCGGTCAGACCCTCTCGGAATTCCGCGCTACTTCCAGACCCTATCTAACCAGCGAGCTTGGGGCGATGTCCATGCGTTCTTTTGGCTGTGTAAATTCGTGGACACTTCTCTATGGATGAACATATCCCTAGCTCAGGGCCAGAAGATTCTATGTGATCCCTTATGCCGGTCTTCTTACACCGATGCAGTGAAGGTCGTATGGTCAGCCTTGGAGAGGCTCAGCGGACGCGAGAAGGAGAGGGAATCCCTGTTGAGCGAAGGCCAGAGACTCGCACAACAGCCGGGAGAAGCCGTCATGGCCTTCCTCTATCGGGTCAACAGATACAAGCAGAAGTGCGAGTTTGCAGGTGTTACTGCGGATACTGCCCACTGGCTCTCCTTGGCCAGAGTAGGCATGAGGGACGAGCTCTCGAAGAAGCTCAGTTATTTGGTGAATGTCGGGAAGCCGGAGGTATCGTGGGACGAGTGGCTCGTTTCGATGGAGCGCATGGCTCCAGCATCGGGGTCGCCATCAGTTCGCTGTGTGGAGGCACACCAGGCGGTGGCCAGCTCTGAGGTTCAGGCGGTTCAGCCTTCAGGAACCAACACCAAAAAAAGTGGCTTTCGAGGTCGCTGCTTTTCTTGCAACCAAGTGGGACATATGAAGAGGGAGTGTCCCAATAGGCGACAGTATCGTGGACAGTTCGCGAAGGAAGCCATGGCTGCGGAGGGTATCGAGGAGGTCGAGGATGGGAGACAGTCCAAGCCGGAAGCCGACGTGACATCATCGGGACAGGCGGAGGCCCAAGGGTCTGGGACTGCCATCAAAATCTCCAGCACTGCCTTTGCTGTCGATTGTTACTCAGCGGTATCAAGGGTTAACTCATTCGCCTTAGGGGGCGAGGATGAGATTCCCCAGGTCACGCTTGGTTTTGGGTCGATCCATCATAGCGCTCTGTTAGACACGGGGTCTTCCTGCTCGCTAATATCGGCGTCTTTAGTCACAGAGCTCGAGGGGCTAGACTGTGTGGTGCGCACTGGTGTTCCTGCGGTGATAATACGTTATGCCAACGGCCAGGAGGAGCGAGCTATGGGCGAGGCCATCATTCGCACGGTCATGAGCGGTAGCGAATGTTTCCTGCCATTTCTCATCGTTCCAAAACTAGGGAGGGATGGAGGTATCATTCTTGGGCGCCGAGCACTGAGATTACTGGGAATGTGCATCCAGTTCTCTCAAGACGCTCCCAAGGAGAGGGAAAAATTGAGAAAAGCTTTCTCCTCTTTCTCCAGTCCTACAGATGGAGGGAGGGAACTGACACCGGCAGAAGAGGGAGAGCTATGCGCTCGCATCGATTGCTACTCCTCTACTGGCGAACTTTATATCGCTGACGACCCGGCGCTCGACCTGGCAGGTAGTCGTTCGTCCGCAGGATCTCAAGAGGAAGTCTGCCGAGATGCTCTGGACATCAAGGTCGGCGAGTCGCTCGATCGGGTCAGAGAGGAGTTGGCTGGTCGCAACCTATCGGAGCTATCCTCTGAAGACGTCGTTGGTAGATTGCTAAGTGCAGTCGAGCAGGGTGGCCCTTTACCATTATCGGATGGGTATACCCTGCGGTTGGTGCCTGGGAGCGTTGACGGTCGCGATTTCGAAGGCCAGAAGTTTCAGTTTGTGACGAGATGGCATCTGACAGAGCCATCTAAGGAAACCAAGGGATTCTGGTCCAGTGAGGGTATGTTGCGGCGCTTATCGGAGACCGAGCTGGAGGAGTTCGAGGCTCACTGTGAGGAGTATTGCAAGAACGGCTGGTGGGTGCCAGAACAAGAGGCATCAAATCACTCGGATGTGAAGTGCCCATATGGGACAATTTTTCCGGTGAGGCAGGCGACTGACGATGCTCAGGTAGCGGAAGCCAAGGCTGTTTGTAAGACAACGAAGACAAGGCCCGTCGCGGACTTGCGATCCATCAACTCTATCAGTCCGAGGGTCAGCAATGAGCAGAGCACAACGGCCGAAGCGGTCAGGGCGCTGAGAAGCTCGCTGAAGGAGGGAGACTCCGTTCGCCAGTACGATCTCAGCCGCGCTTTTTACTGCATAGGCATAGAGCCTACTCTTTCCCACGGTGAGACTGTCCCTCTACGTTTGGCAGTCGGTCGGAAGCGTTTCGAATGCAGGAGGCTTGCCTTTGGCCTAGCCTGCGGGCCCATTGTTCTCCGAGGGAGCCAGCGTATTCTGGTCAAGATAGTCCACGCGGCGCGCTCTATCTTGGGACACTCCGGTGAGGTCTCCATCGAGCCAGTGATGGACGATTTCCTCATTTGGGGAGACCCACAATCCGTCGAGTCTGTCGAAGGACTTCTCTTGCTGGCCTGGAAAATCTCAGGATTCCAGTGCCCAGATAGCAAAAGAACGTCTTGGGGAACCACGCCTTCTCGGTGGCTTGGCAGTCATTGGGTCTGGAATGGGCAGTTCCTACAACTTCAACGTCCGGATGCAGCTGTTGTTGATGGCGAAAGTGCCGACCACCTCACCAAGCGACGTGTCTTCCAGATGGCCGGCAAGTACACGGAGATCTCTGGCGGCGTGAACGAGAGTCTTGCTCGTGCCCATGCAGACTGCGCCCGCGTTCTGGCCAGTGCGGCTTCTACTTGGGATGACCTAGTGTCTGGGAATGAGTGGTCTAAGCCCTGCCTGGTGCATCTTGGGCTAGCCCGCCAATACTGGGAGGCTGCCGCGGTGGAGGATAAGGAGCTGATGCTCTTCAGAGGCATAAAGTGCGTCACGGCTGAAGTTGACGCCTCTGCTGCTGGATATGGCTTCTTCTGGAAAGATTCCGAGTCGGGGCGAGTCATCTACTCGGAGGCTAAGGTTCAGAGCAAGTCTATGGCCATAGGATCTTGGCACTGCAACCGTAGGGAGCTGTTTGCCATTGCGGCGTGTCTACGAAAGCTCGACGAGGCATCCGTGTTGTTCAAGGACCTTTGTCGCATTGAGGTGCTCACTGATAGTCGTGTTGCCGTCAGCCAAGCTGATCCTTGGCATGTTCCTGCGTGTAAAAGCATAGAGAAGCGTGCAATCATGCGCCTTCGTGGAGTTATCGTGGAGGTGGCTCACGCCTTCGCATGCTCCAAGCCTGCGGTAACGGTCGTCTTTGCTCATCTGCCCGGTAAGCATAATACTATTGCTGACGCTCTCTCTCGAGTTGCGCTCAGTCTGAAGTATTTTAAGGTTATGGATGAGGACTCTGCTGTGTCGGTGGTGACAGCTTCCTGTTCGGCCGCGGATGTGCACTCTTGGCTCTCTACCAAGCAAGCAGGAGTGCACTCGGTTCTGGCTTTTCGTCGCTGGGTAGAATTGCGCTCTCTATTCCGAGCATGGCGGGGTGACTCTCCTCCTACGGTTGTCCAACCTTCCTTATTCAGGGAGTTCCTGACCATTCAACAGGATAAGGATGGATTTTGTTCGAAGATTGTCACCCATTTAGATGATCAGGGGCGTTCTCTGGTGCCGGGCTTACCCTACGCCTTCGAGCTCCGGGACGGGCTGCTCTATCGAGTTCGTCCGAATGTTCCTATTGATGAGGGACCACGTAAGCAGTTGGTTATACCACACCACCTGATCATGGACTTTGCACAAGCTGTACACCGAGAGTCTGGTCACTCTGGCTTGACGTCTACCTTAGCTGCATTATATAGTGTAGCTTGGGCTCCAGGGTTGCGGAAGCTCGTCCGTAAGGCTCTGCGCGGTTGCCTCAGCTGTGCCCTGACTCGCGATAATGGTACCCGAGCACAGATTTCCTATGGTGCAAGCAGGATACCCTTGGCCCCGTTCGACTGTGTGGGCATCGACCTGTACGGGCCCATTCGTCGGCCCTGTGGTGCGGGCACCGATACTCGATTCCCGCAAGGGGGCGATGAGGATGAGACTAGCCAGAAGGACGGCCAACAGGTGTTGAGTGTTATCGATAGATTAACCGGCTATTGTTCCTTCTATCTCCTCGACAACGGCCGAGCCAAGGGCATTGCTGATACTTTAGAGGCTCACTTTTGGCGTTTCGGGAAGTGGCCTCGAGAGCTCTGGTGTGACAATGCTAAGAGTTTTGTCGAAGCCACTCCGCTAGTCAGTTTCCTGCTGATGATTGGATGTCAGCTGAAGACCATCCCCGCCTATACGCCACAGTGTGGATTTTGGGAGAGAAGGCATAGAGAGGTCTCAGAGACTCTACGCTCCTGTCTTCATGTTCATCCACAGGCCAGCTGGCGTTGGCTTATCACGATTGCTGAGGCGAGAGCCAATTCCGTTAGTGGTGCTCATGAGAGGCTTTTTGGCTGGAAACCTCAGAGTCCAGTGGTGGGAGCTCTGTCTGCCGAGATAGCTGGCCCCCTAAAGGTGCCCCGAAATTTTCGTGGTGGTGAACAGGCGGCCAAAGCCGAAGCTAGAGCTCGCGCCAGGCAGCGTGACGACATTCTGCAGGTCTTCGCAGAGGAGTGGTTGCAGGCCCGCGAGAGTCTTGCTTCCGAGTTCACAGCCAAGATTCACAAGCGAGGAGGTTCTGCCGAAGTCAAGGTTGGCGACCAGGTTATTCTCTTCAAACCTGGAAATATTAAGGGATTGAAGTTGTCCCCTAGGGCTACAGGCCCTTACGAGGTCATGAAGAAGGTGAGTAGTCAATGTTATGAGATTCGTCTGGGTACTAGAGGCTCTAGCTCTAAGCCTCCGAGGTCTTGGATGGTCCATGCATCCAGGATTCGTAAGTTCGAGCCCGTCGGCGAGGGCCCAGCTGATTCTGCGGTCGATCCCTATGCTTCTGAGTCGTCGGATAATATCTGCCCTAGCTGCAGGGAAGCCCATGTCGGTACACTCGTCTGTTGTGACGGTTGCGATCGTTGGTTCCACGTGGACTGTACGGATTACGATGGTCAACAACAATTTTGGTACTGTAACTTCTGTGGCGCGGCACGAGAGTGATCTTTCTTCTTTACACTCTCGTGAGGGGGCGATATTGTGGTAGAATGTCGAAGTCTCGTCATCGATTACTAGGGCGTGCTCATTTTCTGTCGCGGAGCACGTGTCCCCCATAAGTCTTAGCTCAAGATCTTTCGTTATCACTATGTCATCCGTATTGAGCTCACAAGGAAGTGTTGTGTCTGACAGTCGGAAATCTCAGCTAGAGCTGCCGGAACTCCTACAAATACAATCCGGGCCACTGCATGATGTCTTGATAATGAGTGTATAAGTGTTCATCTGTCCAAGTTGTGTTGGAAACGTTGCGTCGTAACATCACGAAAGCATCGACGCTATACCCCAATACGAAACCTATTGACAGTGCATCAGAGATATCTGAGTGGTTCCGAGATTGATGAGCGAGGGCGGGCAAGCCGCACCACAATGATCCTCTTACCAACTAGCATGAGCCCATGTTGGTTCTCCAGTGTCTGAACTCCGATTGCTGATACGCTGACAATTCTGTTGATAGTGAGTTGAAATACAGAGGTTGGGTATCCTAGAACCTCTGATGTACACCCTCCACATATTAGTATGAGAGTGAAACATGGAGGGATACCATTATGAACGATTCTCATTCTGTTGATGTATAGCATTAGATCAGGAGCGGAGTTATAGATATACTCCCCGAGTAAAAGTTGGTATTTTGAGGCGAAATTTTAACACGTGTATGCTAAGAATATGTGGAGAAAAGTTCTTACCAGTCCTCGACCTCTCACTAACTACGAAGAGCTAGGCCCTTCTGAAACTTGAAGGTCATATCAGGTAAAGCATAAGTACATACCTCCCTGAGCCGCAAGATGATACTCGTTGTGGTGACTGTCCACGAGTCGAAAAACCGGATATGCTAAGAATATGTGGAGGGGTGTATCCTTGACAACTCAATGTATTCTTATCAAACTTGACATGTGTGACACCGACCAAGCATCAGG